CCCTCCCCCCGCCTCATCCAGGCGGGAGAAGTCGTTCAATGCAATGCACTTTTTGAACTATGGTCTCTAATTAAAACATCACATAAATATGTTGTTATTTGACTTTATAATTATTTATTTATTATTGTATGAATTAAGTTAAAAGTTGATATCACGCGAAAACTAATTAGTTTGAGGGATTAAACACGTCAAGTAATTCTGTAAGTTTATAAAGGTGTCAGCTGTTTTGATTAATTAAACTTATTATAACTTTATTAGTTAGGAGTCTAGTTAACACATTAATTTTAATGTTAATTATTAAATATTTTTGCTTTGATACTTTCGTGAAAGGACAGTGGTTTCTTTTATCATTTTAGTCATAATAAGTATGTAATAACAAGCACCAACCAGTGCTTGTATATTGTATATATTACATGATTTTTTTCGAAGGTGGAGTATGTTGAATGATTTAATGTATACATACATTCAATGTATGTAAGTAAGAAAGTAAAGGTCTGTTCAGTACATAATTTTTTTTTTTGGGTTAAGGATATTTAGTTTTGGGACATGTAGGTATGGGGATCAATAGAAGCTTAACCTCAAGTATGTGGGGTCCCCACGCTTGTCCCCCGGCTGCCATCAATGACTAGTTATCATTGTCTAGCTTTGTATAATCTTCCGTTGATTTAACAACCAATTTCATGGTCATGCAAGCCGTTTGACGGCCAGAGGAGTTATTATGACGTCTTAAAGTCAGAATGATTCCATTAAGGGGAAGAAATGGAGCTATACAAAACCGTCTAGCGAGATCTCGTTTCCTCAGCGACCAATCTGGCTTTAAGACGTCATAATACGCCACCAGATCATGCAAACACAAAAAGTACTTTTATTAGGAATATCTATGGCAAAAATATGTCCCACGTCAAAGTCAAAGTCGAAGTCAAAGTCAAAATCATTTATTTCAATTAGACCAGGATGGCACTTTTGAACGTCAAACAACAAAAATTTATAAGTGAAGCTAGTTGCTCATTCCAAGGCGTAGATTCCTATGGAGAAGAACGAGCAAGAAACTCCATAGGTTACTCTTTTTCAGGTTTACACGGAAGGAAATAGCTTTCGTATGAAATTTTGATAGAGCTGCATGAGAGTTGCTCACAAATCCCCGAACGGACTTTGCCAAACCATAAGCTCCTTTAGATATCCACTAGCTCACTCCCAATACCAATTTTACTTTTGTAAAAATAAACTTCAGACAATGACACTAATGCCAATTAACTGTCACGCCCCATTTGCCATCAAAGTTAATCAAACACATTAAAAACATTATTCCTTTATGCTATCTTCATTATTGAAGCAACTCTATTCGTTTTGGGAATATTTTTGTCCTTTTTCAGTTTCGAAATGGCTAACGAACCGCCAAATGAATTACAAAGCAAACGTGTCTTCGTTTCATAATGTATTCCATTCAGAAAGTTCGTGTAAGTAATGAAGTCTTTCGTTAAAATCACACAGCATCGAATGTACGCATATTTTTCGTGACACCGTTTCGTGGCTATATTCATATTCAACCACGATATATTATTAAAACAGAAATAATGAATACATATTTACAAGCGTATTCATTACTTTTTCCTCATTATCATCAACGGCCTATAAACGCCCACTGCTAAGCAAAGCCTCTTCTCACACTGAGAAGGTTTAAGCATTAATCACCACGCTTGCTCAATGCGGGTTGGCGATTACAGACTTACAATTGGAAATTATAAGCCTGGTTTCCTCACGATGTTTTTACTTCACCGTTTGTCAGTGGTTTCTAGATAATCTTAGAAGGTACATGTAACTCGAAAAAAGTCACATTGGTACTTGCCATTTGTAGGTTTCCAACTTGCACCCTCATGCATGAGAAGTCTTAAACCTCCGGGCCACCACCACGTCACTAACTTTTTCCTATAAGAGATTTTTTGTTTTAACAATAAAATTTTATTGTTTAAAGCATAGATGTATTATGTATGTGTAAATTATTTATCTGACATATATACTCATACTTATCAGCATTTATGTATTTCTTAACGTAAAACTAAAACTGTGCATTTAGTGGAGAAGAAAACTATTATTATTACCAACTCGGTTGCAGTATTCTGTACAATAAAATATAATAATTATACTTAGTCACAAGCAACCGCGAGTGTTTGCCAGAGAGATCTGGACAGCAGCACTACAATCCGATCGATAAATAAAGCTGCTTTTAAAATGTATTTGCTATGCGGAGTTATTGAATTTCAGTCAATTTCTGACCTAAATAAAACTATATTATTTTATCATAATTCGATTCCAAATAGTGTAAATTCATCAAAATAAAAACAGAACCATGAACCTAAAGCAATGAATAGCATGTGGCGTGGTAGTTGAATTATGACGCAATATCTTACCGGCGTCCTTACAGCTGCTTACGATCGGAGCCACCTTTATTAAGACACTAGACGCTTGTAAAATGAAAAAAATATTCCAGAAAAACCAAGATTTAGTACAAATATATTGTGGCCTAAAAATTAAACTAGGACTTACGAGATTGGTTGCTCTTCAGACTTTATTAAATGAAGATATCAAACATAGGAACACTTTTCTATATAAAAATTATAATTAGCAAAAGGTTAACAACACTGTAATCGTAGTAATTGCCGTTCCATAGTCTCTGCCTACCCCCATGGGAGACAGGCGTAAAGTTATGTATGTATGTAACAACACTGTAATACCACTCAGGGGCGTGCACAGAGATTTGAAGTAGGGTAGGCAGAAGGCATGATTTAAAAAAATTTGGTCTACATTAATCTCGGAAAATAAAACTCCCGAAACATCATAATTTTGAGTAGGTAATTAGGTTTAGTAAGTATTTTATTAATTTGTACAAACAAATTAGGTATATAATTATTTTCAAACTATCCGTGTATAAAGTTGATCAACATAAATACCTAGGTATCTATTTTACAAATCTAACTAGGTACCTACTTTGGAGCGGCGAAGTACAAATGGCTACACATCAAGCTATGTGACACCAGTATAAACTGACCGTTAAATTCATAGAGAAATCGTACAAAGCGAGATCAAGATGACTGGATTTTAAAAACAATAATGAAATTGGTACACAACCAGTGCTAACAAACTATACGTATAATCGCAAATCGTAGTTTATTAAAAGAAATAATAAAATTATTACCTTTTTTGAGTTACGCCTAGCCCGGACATACGACACACGCAAAATCGCCTTTGGAAATATTTTCGTTTCTTCTTCGAACGACAATAAGGACAACGCACTCATATTTAATTTATTGAACAACACAAATCACCAGCACAGAGCTCACAGCTATAATTTTACATAATTTTCGGTAAATTAACAGTTCATTTAAATTATAATTCATTACATTACAATTTATTCACTTGCACATAAAAACATAACCAAAACAAAATGGCCAAAAAAAACGTAAACAATAAGTTGACCAAAATTAATATATCTATTTTCAATCAACAAACGCTACGTTTTGTTGACTTCTTAAATTAGTCGGATAACGAAGATTTTCAGTTGATAGGTTTCGAAGCCCATGCATGAGAAGCGGGCGTCTTAAACCTCCGGGCCACATTATCTCAATAATCTTCATCAATATCAATACCAGAGCCTACTATAATTATGTCAATAGTATTGAACTTCTTTAAAGACCCACCACATTAGGTGTCTACTAAAGGTCGATTAACTTCAAATGTTCTAACCGAACAGGAAAACTCGACTAAACTTCTTTTCTATCATTCAATATTGACTTTCTTTATTCTGTAGTAAAATATCTCGAGGCAATTGTAACTCTCAGTACAATTTCAGAGCTAAAAACGATTTGCAAAAACGTTGAACACACACACACGCCAGTTTCCTGTACAACCAGCTTCTGTGAGTAAAAAAGGTTGGATGTGGTTTTTTAGCCGCAATGCGAATCGTTTCATCTGTTTATCTATATCCACTTTATTCCTACAGAGAAATATGTAAGGAAGACATATTAGCCCTCTATATTGTTAACACGCCTGTTATCTCTTAGAAGGGTAAGCATGTACCAAAATTATACCTTTCATTGTGTTTTTTTGTACAAGACCAGTCTACTAATAACACCCAATTTAAGACATTTTGGCAAATGAATACATTTAAAAAAGTATTAACTTGATTAACTTGATTAACTTGATTTTTTTTTTTTTCAACATTGCCCCACACTAGGATTTTCTCCTGTGTCGTGGGTGCGTTTACAAACATACAAGTTCACGTACACAATGACACCCAGACCCGGAACAACAATCTGTGGATCACACAAAGAATTGTTCCGTGCGGGAATCGAACCCGCGACACGTTGCGCGGCAGCCAGTTGCCCAGCCACCACGCCAACCGTGCAGCATTGTAACACCATAGCGAAAATGTTTGAACACAATACATTTCTAATTATGGCATTGCCATTAGTCCAACACACTGAACCACAACGCACTACTGACATGTAATTGATGATAGGTGACCCTAAATACTAAATGGCTCAACAAGATGAAAATACTCCTTAAAGTTTGTTAAAAATTATCGAAAATTTTACAGGCCCCACATCCACAACCCACACACAACAGTCAATAAGTTCATAGACCCCATGGTAAATGGGAATTTAGAGGGAACTCTGATAATTATTTTCCCATGAGGGTACGCAAAAAAATCAAAAGTTAACCCCAAAATAGGGTCCTAAACAAATTTAATTTAATATAGATCATGCGGACCTCTAAGTTACTTGACAGAGGTCCAAAGTAAATGAGAGTAATTAATTTGTCGACTGTTGTTGTTAGATGGAAATGTACTATAAGCAAAAGTTACGTTTAAGGTCAAATGAAAACTGAAAACTTCAAAATATAAAATTAACTCGACAACATGATTCTTAATGAGTTAAAATTCAGTTCTGGTGTAATCACTAGAACTGAATTTTTGTGACATTGTAAATTAAAAAGTCGTAACAATTAGTTTAACAGTTTATTCTTTTAATCCAGAATTACATATGTATCAACGATTTTTCATAATAATTTGTACTGCGATTCGGCTACTGAAATTAATACTCTAATTGAAACCCAAATAATATTATAATACCTCTATAATGTATTTGTTTGTGAAATAAAGAAATCTTAAATATCTACATTCATGCATCATACCATTTTTAATTTAATTTTAGTTTATAACTAATAAAGTCATCAAAGTTTTGTTGTTTAAATCAAATTTTACTTACGAATCTAATTCAACTACGTTTTTCGCAAACATTGTTTCATCGATACACACTTTATTCGAAGGTTTCAGTCTAATTATACTATTTTCGGACGAGTATATAATGTTTTCATTGCTTTCCATAGCAACTCCATAGATATTGTCTATTTTAACAAGCTCTTTAAGACTTCTACTTCTACCATTTACAGAATAAATTCCAGTTGCAGTTGAAATATACAAATTACCTACCAAATCGCTTGTAATAGCATTAGCTACGTGAAAACTAAGAAGAGTAGATTTTTTTAATTCTTTGTCATAAAAGAATATTCCAGAAGAATTAGTGTACACGGTGTTGCCATCATTATTAACTCCAATCACCATTACCCTGTGATCTTTCACTTCTGCAACTTCTTCTAATTTATCGCCTTTATACACATATGCTTTCTCTTCAGGATAAGTTGTGAAATATAGTCCGTTCTTGTAAAACATTTGCCAAATATTATCTTGCGTAATATTTAGTTTTGTAGCATTTTTCGTTTTATAGTCAAATTGATAGACACCATCTTGTCCGCCCAGATAAACAATATGAGCTTGATTATTAACAGCATTTGCAAAACCTCCATGGATACCAGGGATGACGTTGAATTCATTTGTTTTTAAATTGATGAAAGCTGATTTGAAAACTTCGTCGCTTCGTGCGGTGTAGCTGAAGAAGAGAGTGTTAGTGTCATGGTCGATCACCAACTGATACGGACTTTCGACATTAGTTACCAAGACTTCTCGTTCATAATTAACATTGCCAATAACAATGCAGTTTACTACTTTATCTATTACACCTGCTTCAGTAAAAGCGAATAATATCGCCATCAAAAACAGCATCATCTGTAAAGAAGGAAAATGTATGTTATTATTTGTCAAAAATGCGATAACCAGTTTTGTGGGTATTGAGTGAACGTGGAGTGAACTAACTATAGCTAATACAAATTAGATATTAACCGTGAACTATTATAACTACAGTTGAAGAAAACAAAAAGACTAATCCATTAATATTTTTATAGGCAGAGGAGACTCCTACTAAGATTATGATAACACCCTACTACCTGTTAGAATTATAATTATCATAACGAATTCGTAAAACAATAACTGATATTTTGTATATTATGATTATCACAACGAATTTACAAAACAATCATTGATATTTAGATTACCATGGTATATACATTTATCGTTGTTCCATAACAATGAGACTTTACATTTATCGATGTAGCAGTGCGTATCGAAATTTGAATTCGTAAATTTTTGTTGTAGTCTCATTTGACTATTGATTTTAATTATTGAGTGTGTAAAATATACAATCCGAATTTCATATTGATAACTTTGACAGTTTGCGCTCAGCGATGATGAATCAGTCATGTCGTCAGACCGAGTCAGTCAGTGAGACATGTCCTTACTGACTGACGCGGTCAAAATGGAGGGTGGCAGTAATATGAAAGTTCATTATTTTGAAAGTAAAACAATGTTATGCTTTTTGGTTATTGACATAAAAAATAAATACTTTTAGGAATTTTGGAAATTTTACTTAGTAAGAATTGAAATTGGGGTAGAAGGGCCACGCAAGCAAAACCGCAGGTGACAGCTAGTTATTTTATAAGGAAGTATAGATAGACTACTTACGAACGTATACTATAAGTATGCAAATAATATCATCGGGGGTTTTCTGATGCTGGGAATAGTAAATCGTGTGTTTCTGAAGTCCGGTTTTAAATACGTAAGTATACTTTTTCCTTATGTCTTCCGAATACGTAAATAATTACTTAACTAATGCACGCTACACACTTTACGATTTAACTGTATGTACAGTTCAACCGTACAATCAAATCGTAAGATGTATGCGTACATAATAGATCTAAATGGGCATTATTGTTCAATAATAGTTCAGATTTTATTAAAAAAATACATACCGCCCCAGGACCCGACGGCTTGCATGGCAAAGCATGGGTCCTGGCCTCAGAGGCTCTCGGGCCTCGATTAATCGGTCTCTACGGCGCATGCTTGGAGAGAGGCCAGTTCCCGCTTCTCTGGAAAGCGGGAAAACTGGTCCTCGTGCGGAAGACGGGGCGCCCTGCGGACTCTCCGTCCGCATACCGGCCCATAGTGCTGCTCGACGAGGTGGGGAAAGTGTTCGAAAGAATAATTTCGAACCGCCTCGTCGCGCACCTGACGGGCATTGGGCCGGATCTATCGGACGGCCAGTTCGGCTTCCGCAGAGGGCGCTCCACGGTGGACGCCATCATGCGCGTTAGGGACCGGACGACGGGGACTGCAGTATCCAGGGGTAAGGTCGTAGTGGCGGTGTCTTTGGACATCGCCAACGCCTTCAACTTCCTGCCCTGGAGCTGCATCTTGGAGGCACTCCGATATCATCGGGTGCCTACCTACCTCCGTCGTGTAATCGAGGCATACCAGACGGACAGGTCCGTCATTTACCCCGGTCACCGGGGCGAGTGGAACCGGCGAGAGATGTCACGCGGTGTTCCACAGGGTTCGGTTCTGGGGCCGCTCCTGTGGAACATCGGTTATGACTGGGTGCTGCGCACCGACCTCCCGAACGGCGTTAGCACAATATGCTACGCCGACGATACGCTGGTGCTAGCGCACGGGAGGTCACACCAGGCGGCGGCCGACTTAATGGCGACAGCGGTTGCGACAGTCGTTGAGAGAATCCGGCAGTTGGGACTCGAGGTGGCGCTCCACAAGTCCGAGGCCATGTGTTTTCATGGCCGCGGGAACGCGCCACCTCCGGGTGGGTCCCAAATAACGGCGGGAGGAGTTACCATCGGCGTCGAGACGACGATGAAGTACCTAGGACTCGTCCTCGACAGTCGGTGGAACTTCATTGAACACTTCCGACGTTTGGCTCCAAAGTTGGCGAGGACGGGGGCTGCGTTTAAACGCATCCTCCCCAACCTCGGGGGGCCAAACGCCTCCTGCCGGAGGTTATACGCCGGGGTCGTGCGGTCCATGGCCCTCTACGGCGCCCCTGTTTGGGCGCCAAACCTGTTGCGGCGTCCCGCTCGGACGCTGCTCATGGCACAGAGGGTCATGGCGATCCGAATGATCCGCGGATACCGCACGATCTCTGGGGAGTCGGCGAACCTCCTTGCCGGATTACCGCCGTGGGATCTGGAGGCGAAGGTGCTCGCGCGCGTGTACAGCATGCGCGCGGAGGCACGTCGCCGGGGCGAAACTCCGCTGCCGCGCCAGATAAGTGCGTGGCGGGATGAGCTCCGGCGCGATCTCATGGCGGAATGGCAGCAACGACTGTCGCAACCGAGGGCTGGGCTCGCTGCCATCGCAGCGGTAAGTCCCCTCTTTGAGGAGTGGCTTGAGAGACGCTACGGCGTCCTCACCTACCGCCTGACGCAGGTCCTCACCGGACATGGAAGTTTCGGGAGGTACCTGTGTCTGATGGGGCGGGAGGAAACGCCCGGGTGTCATCACTGCGAGGACCGCCCTGAGGACACGGTGGAACACACGGTGGGAGAATGCCCTTCGTGGGCTGAGCACCGCCGTGTCCTCAGGGAAGTGATCGGCGATGGCGACCTCTCGCGTCCGGGCCTAGTGCAGGCCATGATGCGGAGCGAGGGGGATTGGGATGCCGTCTCCTCCTTTTGCGAAGCAGTCATGCTAGCTAAGGAGGAGGCGGGACGCGTGAGGCAGCGAAGCGCTGCCTCCTCGCAACCCAGCCATCGCGAAGGACACACCGGGCGTCGGGGATCGCGGGACGATCTCCGGCCACCGTAAGCGCGGGCCTGCGGACGGCGAGCATGGGTGGCTCCCCGTCCGACCAGAAACAGACCCGAGCGTACGGCGCGTCGCGTTCCGCGCGCGCCTCAAAGAGCCATCAGACCACCACAGATGGGGCCCAATAGGGCCGATGCCGATTCGGAGTCGCGGAGAACCTAACGGGTAACCGGGGCTCCGGCTCGACGTGCAGGAGAAGGAACGGGGTGGTTTTTAGTCAGTAAGAGTCTGACACTCCCTTCCGCCTCACCCAGGCGGGAGCAGTCATTCGATGATTTTCCCCCCTTAAAAAAAAAAAAGGTCTCCGCGACATAATTAAGTATGTATAGAGTAGTTTATTATTTAGTTTGTGTTATTTTTGTTTAGTTGAAACTAATAGTTATATTTTTATTATTTCTAGTTTTCCGTGAATTCCTGTGAGTCAATTAAATCACTTTTGTTTGTGATTGTAATATAGAATAGAATAATAGAATAATTTATTTGTGTGTACTCCACTTAAAATTTTTTTTTTTTAATTACTATATTAAAATAAAATTATGCTAGACTATTAACTAGATAATAATAATACATTATTTTGCTTAAAACTATGGACAGAAAAATAATAGGACTAATACTAATATTTGTCGCGATTTGCTTGAACTAGGTTTATGCAACCTGTGTTTCAAGTCATCACTTTATTACTATTCATGTTAAATCTATACAGGTTTGTATTATCACCTACTTAAATAAAATTTAGAAATTATAAAACAAATTAATCTATGTATGTGACCTACTTAAAGTAATTGACCTTAAACACTAATTAACTACGTCAGTACATCTAAAAGTTTTTCTGTGTCATTATAATTTAATTTCAGCAAGTACTCCGTTATTATGTTACAACATTTCTTATGACTAAGGCTGTATACATTACAAGATTTATTTATCTTATTGTACAAAAACGGTCCGAGAAACATATAAAATCTAGTGCAATAGGCATGTTTAGTTTGTCTAGTTTGGCAGACCAGATTATTCCTTTTCTTTACCAAAATTTCACGGTCATAGGTGAGATCCGAATGTTGAAAAAGAACGATGTTTAATATACTTAATTGCCGTACTGTAAGAACCTTACAGGCCTTGTAAAGTTCTTGAGTAGAAAATCTAAAAGGGCGAAATGTCGCAACCTTGAGGATGGCCCTCTGAGCACGTTCTAGTGGAAGCATTATTGTTTTAGCGGCACCTCCCCATGATGTTATGCAATATGTTAGTATTGATTGGCACAAAGCTAAATAGACTTGTTTAATTAATACATAGTCAGCTATATTGCGTAAATTTTTAAATACGTACATTAATTTACGTACTCTTGTGCATAATAAATCTATATGTTTGCGAAAATTTAAATTTGCGTCAAGCGTAACACCGAGGTATTTAATAAAATCAGTTTTGATAAGCGCGGGACAGGTACATGCTGAGTCACCAAGAGTAGTACATTTGTGTGCATAAATATTTACATTAGTCATATGTGGGTTATGGTTTCTCATTGTGAACATGATATATTTCGTTTTATCTGCATTTAGTGTTAATAAATTTTTAGAAAGCCAAATAGTTACAGCAGTGAATCCTTTTTGAGCGTGTATGTAGAGCTCTTCCCGTGTATTAGCGGAGAATACAAGAGCTGTATCATCCGCATAGGACATTACAATGCCGTTTTTAATTGATAATTCACATAAGTCATTTATATAAATTAGGAATAGTGTAGGTCCCAATATACTTCCTTGTGGTATTCCGTAAGAACTATTTTTAACTTCTTTACTTATGTATTGGTCAATCTTTACAGACTGGTAACGGTCGGACAGATACTCAGAGAAAAGAAGTAACTGCTTTCCTCTGATCCCAAGTGACTCAAGTTTCCGCAATAGTATGGAGAAAGAAATTGTGTCGAATGCCTTGGCGAGGTCCAAGAAGATACCCATAGTGTACATGCCATTGTCCAGATTAGTGGTAATATAGTTAGTAAGTCCATGCACCGCTTGGTTAGTTGATCTCTTTGGTCTAAAGCCAAACTGGTTGTCAGAAAGCAATTTCCTTCCCTCAAGATATTTTACCAGTCTGTTATTAATAATTTTTTCTAAAATCTTTGAGAGACCAGTTAGTATTGAAATGGGTCTATAATTAATGACATTGGTTTTGTCTCCCGATTTGAAAACTGGTGTAATCATTGATTTTTTGAGTGATTTCGGAAAAGTGCTAGTTGATAGACATAGCTGAAATATGTATGTTAATGGACCCACAAATATGTATTTATATTTTTTTAGTATGTAATTAGGAATACCGTCCCAGCCGACTGCACAAACATCCTTTAAACCGGTTATTATTGTTAGTATTTCATCCTCATCAGTGTCTAGCAACACGAAAGAATCACATGTAGTTGATAGTGATGTAGAAGTCAAGTCGTAGGTAGAAGAGTTTCTGTACTGTAGGGTACTTTCGGCCAAGTTTTTACCGACATTTGCAAAGTAATTATTGATATTATTCAATGCTTTAGAAGGGTCTGACTCAGTCGATAGTAGGTCAAGTGAAGGGTCAGTATTTATTGGTCTAAAAGTATTTGTTTTTATAAATTTCCAAATGAGTTTACTGTTATTGCCTGCCTTCTGTAACTCACTTTTATCGTATTGAATTTTTACCTTTTTTATTAAATTATTGCAAAAATTCCTATATCTTTTATATGTCATCAGCAGAATCTTATTTTCTGGTGCTAATTTTGATTTACGATGAAGCATGTCTCTGTTACGAATACATCTAACCAGACCCGGTGTTATCCACGGCTTGATGTTGTAGTACTTCTGTGGAATTTTTACTGTGTATGTATTTTTATTTATTACGTGCTGTACTAAGCATATAAAATTATTTAATGAAATATTTGCATCGTTTGCATTGTAAACAGGGTCAAAATTAATATTGTTAACGTCATGGTCTAGTCTTGTCATGTCGATTTTAGAATGACTGCGGATGCAATTTTTTCTGGGTAATGAAATTTGAAGTGCAAGTAATACTGCTTGGTGATCTGTTACGGAAGAATTAGTCACTATTGTTTTTGCTCGTTTATTGGTTTTGATGATGATATGATCGAGACACGAACCGCTTTGATGAGTGGGATGAGTGTGAGCTGGTAGAAGTCCATAAAAAGAACAAATGTTAAGATAATTATGAGCATGCATGTCGGTTTTCCCGGATGAAATGTTAATATTTATGTCCCCTATAAGTATGATGGTTTTATATGAAGCCACTTTCTTTAGATTCGTGTCAAGTGAGTCTATAAATTTATCTATATTTTGAGAGGGAGGTCTATATATAGCAATAATTACTATATCAGGATTTATAGTAATTAATAAACAGTTAGTATCTGCAAACTGTGGTTCTGTAATGCTTACATTTAAATTATTTTTTACATAAACTACTAGGCCATCATTCTGATTAATAATTCTATTCGTTCTATGAGAGCTGTATCCTGTAAGAGTTGGTAAAACAGTCGTGGAATTTGTCAACCAGCACTCTGTTAAAATAATAATATCACAACTAACATCGATATTTTGCAGTAATACCTGGAAATCCAGCATATTTTTATTTATGCTGCGGATATTTTGCGTGAGTAATGTTAATGCTTTTTTCCCAGTGTTAATTAAGTTTTTGCACTCATCAACATTACAAATACAAGTCTCTGATACAGAAAAACAATCTAAGTCACCAATAAGTTGGTTTGTCATGTTAAAATATTAACTAAGATGCGTATAAAATATGTGCTAACTAAGTTAAACTAATTACTGACGCTCTTAGGCGCCTTCATAATCTATGGTGTTAATATAGTAGTCCTCAGCAAATTTCCGGGCGGGACAACTTACGTCACCAGTCGAGTGGTCGCTTTTTCTTTTGAAACGTTTACATGTCGCGCATTTTGGAGGTGCAGCTTTGTTGCTGCATTCCTTGAAGGAGTGACCAGAGTCACCGCAGAGGTGGCAGGTAGGGCTCGTTTCACGGCAGTACTTTGCTGCATGTCCAAACTGCTGGCAATTAAAACATCTCGTAACTATAGTGTAGTCCCGGACGGCACAAGAGGTCCAATTTATAAAAAGTCGACCTTGGCCTAGCAAAATTTTACGTATGCTTGGTGGCACCTCTAGCACGTAATTACAGGTCGAGAGATTTTTCTTGCCCGATTTATGGCTAAGTTTTATGGTAGCCAATGTGGGCTCACGTGGGGAATTGGGCATTTTATCGGAGAGGTTTTGCTCGTAGATACAGTCTAGAACTTCCTTTTCTGATAACGCTGAGGGTACACCAATCACGGCAATCTTCGGTCGTCGTTTCGCCGGCTCCTGTACAGTGAGGCCCGATGAAACTAATTTCTCTGCATTTTTTAGTTTATCAATGTCCGCTTTATTTTCGGTGCTTATTATAACACCACCATCTCGAATTTTCCTCACACTACGAACATGCAACTTCATGACTTCAGGCGAGATAATTTTTTGAACGAGTGATTTAGTGTCGTCACTTGTTTTGGTCTTGTCACTAGGATAGATAGCCACAGAGCTCAAGTTTTGTGGCCGCACATAGTTATCTGCACCCTTTTTCACGACATTTGCATATGAACTAGTTTCATTTGCTTTAAATGAGCTAGAAATTTTGGCTTGGAACTGTTGTAGGGACTGTGCAAGGGTTTGTTGTTCTCTAAGGTTTTGGATAGTAGAGTGCGCTAGAAGTGCTTTTTGTTTCAAGGCCTGATAAGCAACAGCCATCTCAGATGTGCCTTTTAGGGCATTACGGCAAAGGTTTTGCACTTTGGTCTTTTGTTCTGAATTCATCTTCCCGTCTGACACGATAGTACAGACTTCGGCTAGGATAGAGTCCATGTGTCTGGTCCATTTTAAAATATCTTCAGTAGGGATCATATCCCGGAGAAGGATAGGCTCCTCGGAAACATTAGGTTTGGGCTCAGGAGGAAGAGATTCTTGAGTCGGTGTTGGTGGTGGACTTCGTCTCAGCAGCTGGCTACGGCTAAATGGGCTGGTGCCTGGATTAGACATTTTCCGCCCACAGAACACAATATTCTTTAATATAGTCTTGTTTTATTTCATTTTTGTACGAATATACGTATAACACTTGAATTGTTCCACAACAAGCACTTCATTAAGTTCTAATTTGCTTAAACTGCATAAAACAATTTAAAGTTATTGATTTAATTTCATACTATGGAGAAAGTGAACACGTCCGCGTAATAAAGCGACGCACCGCGTAATGTTGTCTTATTGCTACTAATTCTAACTACATAAAAAAATACTTAATAATTGTCAAAAATGCTTTAATATTAGCTAAATAGATAATACATGCATTGTCAATAGGAAGATAAACAAAAATAATTTTTTATCGATAAATAAAATTCATGAATCACTACATAGTATAAAACAAAGTGGCTATCCGCCGTCTGTCTGTCCCTATGTATACTTTGATCTTTAAAACTATGCAACGGATTTTGATGCGTTTTTTTTTAATACATAGAGTGATTCTTATGGAAGGTTTATATATATAATACATGCATATTGCACCCGTGCGCAGCCGAGGCGGGTCGCTAGTATATAAATAAAGATAAAGAAGGAAAGGCTATAAGAATAATCAAAACAAACTACTAATCGTTATGTTTTCCTTTTAAATGAACTGTTTCTGACACAAATAAGATAATTGCGAGTGACCCTACGCTACGCAGTTCATCGACCTAAATTAAAACGTAGTAGGTAATATCACTTGATATAAATAACTAGCTTCTGCCCGTGACTTCGTGCGCGCACTCCCGTTTTTCCCGTTCGTGATTTTCAGTAAAAAATAATGTTAGATAAAAAGTACATATCCTATGTTCGTCTCCTGATTCTAATCTACATCCCCACCAATTTTTGTCTAATCTAAATCATTTCAGCCGTCCTTGAGTTATAAATAGTGTAACTAACATGACTTTCTTTTATATATATATATATAGATATAGGTTATTAGGTTATCTTCTGTCAGTCTTCAGTATCACCCGCGTTCTCGTGGAATTATAAATTAAATAAATGATTTGATCTTGACCAGTTAAATAATTAAAAGAAATTAATGTTAAAAGCACTAAAGAAATTACAAAACTAGCTCGGTTCAGAAGCATAAAAAGAAATTTAAGTATAACAACGTCAAAAGTCGGGACCCTTTTATTATTTTTGACTCAAATAGGCATTCCTGTCTTTGGTAGGTAGGTAGGACCCATTCCGGATCCTGACTGTTAACTTTACTTTCTTTTGTTTTAATCAAATTTCTTTCCAAGCTTAATGCTACTGACCTGATCTTGTTTTTTTTTTACTGTTGCAATATTTTACAATGTAAAAAAACGACAGTAAAATAAATACATACCATTATTTAAAATGTATTTTTCCGACACAAAATAAATACTTAAATTTATGTTTTACAGACACCTTGATGCCAATAAGTTTGAAACCATACTAGTGCTCTTGTTTACGTAGGTATTGGTCATATACCTACGTTAGGTGTATTGTTATTATTGAACAGTTATTGTAGAGGTTATAACAAGTTATCAGGATGAGTCGCCTGTTCAACGCACCTACGTAATAGGTATTCAACATTATTTATCTCGAAGCTACCCTTACAATAATTAAGATGAATTTTGTCTGTTTGGTATAACATGCTAATATTCAAAACTGTCTATGAAGTCTATTCTGATACCTTCATCTTCTGAGAAAAATAGATTTTTCTCCAATAGGAGAACAGTAAAGTATTAGAGCTCATAAAAGAGCAGTTCATTTTGAGGTCCACTAAGCAAAGTCTAATGAAGAAGCCAATATTTTATTTTTTATGGCATACGGTAAACGTGCAGACGGATTGCCTGATGGTAAGCAATCGACGTCGCCCATGGACACCTGGAACACCAGAGGCGTTATCGGCCTTTTGTGGATTAGGATTTTTGAGAATCGTTGGTGGTTTAGGGATTGGGGAGGTTGGGGAAGGGGACGGTAATTGGGCCTCCGGTAACCTCACTCACACGATGAAACATAACGCAAGCGTTGCTTCACGTCGGTTTTCTGTGAGGTCGTGGTATCAGTCCGGTCGAGCCGGCCCATTCGTGTCGAAGCATGGCTCTCCCACACTTAAAAACTTCCAAAATGGAAAAATAGCAACAACAAGAACAAATCTAAAAAGGCACAAGAAGCAATTTCAGTTCATACAGTTTCTAACTCAGTAGCCACTGCCCGTTCATAACGAAGTACTACGAACTAGGGGCACAAAATCGACTGCGCGCGATAATATAGTAATTTATTGCACTATATTTCACCCAGCATGGTCCACCGGGACTCTCGTGACGACCGCTGTGCTTCGAATCTGAAATGTGCTGAAGATATCATGTACATTGTAGTGAATTTACCTTTATTGGAAGATATTTTACAGTATTTTGATCGCCTTATACTTTTCAGTCCCGAAATTGAAGATCAAATCTCCGGCATATTTTAATACCGATCATTATTTGATTTATTATTTTGTAAGTCAATTCCAATTGCCTCGCAATCAAATGAGTTGCTCGCAGAGACACAAATACGACATCAAACGCACAAAAAGATAAACAGAAAAATCTTTGATCACAAGAAATGTCAATACAACATTTGATTTTAATTTCCCAAGTAATTTACCGTAAAAACGTTCCGATCAAATATGTTGAACAAGATTGATTGTTCTTGAACACCAATCTCTCAGACGTTTCTTCACAGACAAATACCGGGGTCCGTGTTGTCTCATCCATCATTCGTTTGACAACTTATGGCTACATCGTTCCCACTACACTAGTCAACAGAACATACCGTCTACAAATCATTCCTTGTTCAAGATACAATCACTTTTCAATATCATATATTGTATTTAATACTTAGGTATTATGTTGTTTGAGTTATTGTTAGTCATTATTAATGTATATTTCGACTCCTAGGCAACTGTTCATAAGAAAATATTTGAATGTATGTTTCAAGTTCAAATTTATCAATGGTTTTCATGCTACAAATTTTTATTTGCCTGTAAAAGTTATCTTTTAATGCCGTAACTGATTCACATTACTTAAAGGAATAGATAATCCTGTAGTAACCCAAATATCGAAAATGGACCGAATCCAGCAGTCACGCTTGCAGTCGACGGACCAACAAACCTCAGACAGAATTCTGAAATTAACCGAATTAGCCAAAACTTTTTTATATCCTCCTAAATTCATTAGGCCGTAAAAACCAACTTTAGTAACAACTTAACTATAAGACACTTTACGAAAGAAAAGAAAAGGAAAAGAAAAGGAAAAGAACATTTTATTTCGATTTCTCTGGGGAGTATTTTGCTCTAAATCGCTTACACTGCCATTGTCACATTAGGTAAAGGTAAGTTAGCGGGAATGATATAGAATTTGACTGTATTTGGTGAGAAGTTTATAAAAACTTTTAAGTTTATTTTTAGATATACATATGTACCTCTATTATAGACCAACCCCTTTGAAGGTTTGAAATACGGTTAAATTGACAAAACAGCCATAATTATCCTTATTTGTTTTAGCCTTAATCCAAGTTAATTGTCGAAGCAACACGTGTTCTTCTTTTCTCGAGTAACACCTATACCTAAGACTTCTGATAAATGTGCAGTTGAGGGCTATAGACCTATTGCTATATTGTCTTCACCAGCAAAAATTTTTGAACACGTCTTACACAAGTTGATATATGCACAAGTACAGACACATCTACATAATGCACAACACGGATTCAGACAAAAACGATCGGTTAACACCAACTTACTGACATTAACTGAGTTTACCTATATCTGCTCAACTTGATATAAAACGACAAGTGGACGTGCTGTACTTTGATTTTAGCAAAGCCTTCGACAGAGTCAATAATGACATCCTGCTTTTAAAGCTCAGCACTTTAGGTTTCTGTCCGAACCTCCTGAGTATTCTTGCAGACTACCTCCGGGATCGCCAACAGTTTGTTCGGCTAGGAACTTATGACTCGAGCCCTTACCACACACGCTCAGGCGTGAGTCAGGGGTCGATTCTTGGACCTTTACTTTTTCTGTTGATGATAAACGACCTACCATCAGTTCCCGAATACACAAAATGTCTTCTATACGCAGATGACCTCAAACTATATGCCAGTGTTAAAACTGTGCAGGACTGTGAAGCCATACAAAAGGATGTTGACGCCGTCTACGAATGGAGATTTGCAAATAAAATGAATTTCAATGTATCCAAATGTTGTGTGATGTCTTTTGGTCGAATGCGGCATCCAATCTACTACCAGTATAGACTGAATGGTACAGTTTTGCCCAGATCAGCAACAACGACAAAAGATTTGGGAGTCACTTTTGACCAGAAACTTACATTTCATGACCACATTGTCGTCGTCGCCAAGGAATCTTTCAAGAGACTTGGTTTCGTTCTTAGAAACTCAAAAGATTTCCGTAAAGACCATGTCATTCGGCTATTATACAATACGCTTGTTCGGAGCAAGCTCGAAGCCAGCTCTTGCGTGTGGAATCCTCATGAGGCCACTTATGCTCTTTTGTTAGAAAAGGTACAAAAAGCGTTCCTACGATTTTTGTATAAACGTCTGTTTGGTTACTACCCGTATCTGTATCCAACCAAATTCCTGACTGGATGTCTTGGATACAACATTCTGGAGACCAGACGGAAGTTTAACCAAGTAGGCATAATGCTTAAAGTGTGTCGTGGATTAACTGATGCTCCAGATCTTCACAATGAGTTGATACGACTATACGTGCCTGATAACTATCTTCGCAATAGGAACCATCGGCTTTTAGCAGTGCCTACTTCCCGCACTAATGCACGTGCGAAATCTCCAATTCCACGTGTTCTTGCTGCGTTTAACAACCTCATGAAGGTCTACCCGGATTGTGACTTGTTTAATGATAAGTATAAGGCTGTAATGTCTGTTTGCCTGGTGTATTGTGAGCAGGACCACATATAAAAATGTTATTTTATCTTGGTTTCCAGATTCTGTGTACCTACGTATATTGTTATTATTACTGTTATTTCATTTTAATTCTAAGTTGTTTTGTATTTTGTTTCGTGTATTTTTTTTGTGTCCAACTTTATCTGTTTTGTAATTTTACTATATTTTCTCATTTACTTTTAACACCTTTTTATATTATGTACTTTGATTTAGTTTTTTTTTATATTTTTTGTAATAATTTAATTTGATTAATGTAATTGGTGCCTACCGTGTTAATCAATAAACAATAAACAACAATCACCAAGCATAATTTACATAGCGGTGCTTTAACAGTACCTATCATCCCTGATAGCGTTGCTTAGAGCATAATTATACATATCTTAAAGTGTACATCTTTGTCCATAATAAATAAATGGTTTATTCCGTTCAAAATTCATATCCACGATAAAAACGATTCAATTAATGTTCCTATTTTAAAACTGGTAAAGGAGTTATTCCTTAAGTCAGCACACAATGCACAACTGTCCTTTAAGGAATGAGAGACGAGATATTATTTTATGACTGAAACGTCTGAAGGGCAAGCGTAAAAGACTGACTTATTGCTTTAGGTTAGGTCAGGTCAAGACTTTCTTAGAATTTTATGGCCTCGCGCGTAGCATGGACGTCATAAAATCAACAGACGTCTAAAGTGAAGTGTGGTAATTTCAGTGACGAATTAAAATAAGTCTGAGTTTTACAACATGCGTAAGTGTAAGTACCCATTTCCTGTTAAATTCGGCTGACTGTATGTGTAATTACAAAATTCATCATCTGTCTGTTTGATTCATTACTTTGTCATCATAATTTTTAGGTAACTACTTCTAAGTTTGGCAGAGCTATGCTTCAGTACGAATGGGCCGGCTTGACCGGAGTGATACCACGGTCTTACAGCAAACCGACGTGAAACAACGCCTGCGTTGTGTTTTGGTTTTTAATTATTTGTCATGTCATGATCACCGTTACAGTTAGCTTGACTGAGAATACGAAAACTAAAACTTAGTGCTTATATTACCTGGTCAAACCGGTGTCTAAAAAAACTTCCTGTAAATTTGTATTCTTACTTGACCATTGGAATATTTTTTCTTAAATGCAGACTAAAAACGAGTACAAATTGCGCACTGCAGACGAAATGCAAATTCAACAGTGTAGCTGCAATTAGGGAGAGACCAATCAAATTCAACAATGCATAGACAAAAGGAATCGTCACGTCCAATTACTTTATTATTGCAATTGATATTAAAATGGTTTTAGAACAACTGAATTTAAATGTTGCAATTGACATTATTGGTCTATTTATTCCCTTCTTGAATTAGGAAAATTGTGCCGCCGTAAACATTTTATTCATATTACTAAATTTTATTTTTATATCCGTCAGGTAGGTACTTAGATTAATTTGAAACATTATACACGCAAATTTATTTTTTTATAGAACATAATTATTTTGACGATAAGTATATTGATTTGAAATATCGTGTGACGTTGTGATTTACTACCTTTTATAGGGAGAGGTTACGTAGCACCTCCCACATCCAAACATGACTCCGTTTCACCTAAGTATTGTATGTACCTGTTACGTTAAAACATTTTTTTTTCATTATCTAACATTTTTTTTTTCATTTTCATCCTATCAACAACTACATTGCTCATGACATGAATTCAAGGCTTGACTCAAGCCTTTTACTTATACATTTCGTCCAGACCCCGAAAAACCGCACTGATATCATTTTTGTTTCTTTTTCAAAAAATATTCGTTCTTAATGCTTTCTAAAGTGCGATCCGAAAGCATTTCCAATGAAAATTTATTTTCATTATACTCGAAAACTAATTGAAGGACATCATAAATCCACTAAGTTAGATTAAATATTACATTCAATTTTAGTTTGCTAAAGTAATATCTTGAAATAAAATTAATAGCCACTCGGCTACTTGGAATTCATGACATCACGCCAGTCTCTGTGTGCGTCACTGACAACTTGAAGCTGATAAAAAGTCCCGAGAAATTGCGGCTTATTTTTTCTTTTGTTCATATTTGTAGTCATCAAGTTTTTGAACATTTTAATTAAGTTTAGGCTACAAGTGTATTAAACTATTTTCTATCAGCGGTTACGCTAGTGTTATTATAAATATTATTCTTGACTTTAATCTATCTCTGTACCAAATTTCCTAATCCGTTCCGTAGTTTTTTCGTGAAAGAGTAACACACATACCTTCAAACTATCTTCATACATGCATCTTCACAGACTTTCACATATAATATTTAATATAGTAGGAATATGTTTATTTTAATCGAGATATCATACCGAAAAGCCCCAAAAGGACCATGCCCATATTACTATGAAGTTGAAAGTCAGTAATGCTATGCAATGCCCAAATTACAGTTACATGTCATACGATAGCTCTTTAGCCATATTTGTATGATATCTAGCTAGATTTAATGTAATTTAAAGCACAGATTAGATTTTGTACAAAACATGAAAAGTTCCTACTGATATTTTATACATTTTATCGTTTATAGACAGCATTGCTATAAGTTTTTCACTAGGAACTTCATAATCATCATGACTTATCTGTATGTTATCAGTACAGAATATGTATGTGAAATCGAGTAAATAATAATATGGTAAGAGACCAAATGTGTCTACCCATGACAAACCGGTGTTTCTAATGAGATTATAAACGCAAAAAGCAATATAATAGCATGGGATGTATTGAACTATCTTTTAATGTTTTTTATATTATGTTCGATTCGATTTTATATTTGACTAAAAGACAAAAACCAATTGTATTATTCACTGCCTTTTAAGTACTTATTTACTAATACTTTATACTATTAGCTACTTCCGCGCGGTTTCACACGCTCTGTCAGCCTTCCTCGATAAATGCGCTATCTAACACAAAAAGAACTTCAAATCAGACTTGTAGTTCCGAAGATTAGCGCGTTCAAACAAACAAACAAAAAAACAAACTCTTTAGCTTCATAATATTAGTATAGATTATACAATAGGTTGTTTACCTTTTCTATATCGGTTTGTTGCTGTATTGATTTCTGGTGATAAGATATAGGTTGCGAGAAAATAAAAAAGAAGTATTAGTAGGTAAGTGTTTATTGTTTCATTCTTCAATTAATAGTAAAACGTTATCTAAAAATGATGCTGGCCTCAATATATTTGTCGTATGACTAGCCCAAATACCATATTATGGTCATGATGTGGCAACAGCAACCCACTGTTCTGTAACCAACGAGACAGTTACAACAGTAGCCTAATATTACATCTAAGCTATGATTATTAGATGGTTCTGCATCAATTAAAATATTTAAGGCGACCAACATGGCGGGACTAAATTCGAGCCCTTAAAAGTAAGGTCTATATCCTCCAACGGCCGCAACCATTTCTTCAGAATGTTCCAGTTCGGGACATACTTCTATTTCGTATGACCCATTTTTTCGAACATGCTCGCCATAATACGATTGTGCTTGTTTAACCTGTTAAGGGAGTAACTAAATGCAGGAAATATATTTAATTGAGGAAAGCACCATCGATGCGTCTAAACATGACAGATCGCCTATTTAAATTATAATTTCTTACAAATTCTGCCAAGTAAAGGAGTATGTAGATACTTCATGGCCCTTTCTATTATAAACCGGGACACATAAAAGTTGTGTTCTGTAATTAACATTTTTTTAATAAATGTTGTTATTAAATGCATGGATGCATTACCACAGTCAGAAAAAATGCAATGTCATGATGTACTAGCAGCTCTCTTGTAGTGAGGTAAATAGATAGGGACCGATTCAACATATCGTTGATCTGGCAGAGAAGCAGATGCAGGTGGCCATGCAGGGGCAGATGCAGGTGTAGGTGGAAAGACTGGGGCAGATGCAGGTTTAGGGGCTGGGACAGATGCAGAAGCCGGTTCAAATAGCAAATGTGGTATAGCCATTTCACATTCAGAATCTTGTGCAGCTTGTCTGCTAGCCAACAATTATGAAACTGCAAAGCTATCTCTTCCATTCTTAAAATAAATAGCATTGATAAATAAAACAATTTAAGAAACTGTCAAAATACACAATCACTTAAATAATTAAGATGAGTAACCAAGGAAGTTTTGATGTTTATCTAAGGTATGTTTAAAAAATAAATCAAATAATTTCATTCTAAAAACTATTCCACTGATGTAGGTAGTTATAAGAAATATTTATAGGATGGTATGTCATTAGCTACCAGTGATTGGAATAGGTAGATTGAATGGGGGTCATCGATCTTAAATGTATACTTTAATATGGACATTTAACATTTTAACAAATCCAGAAATACCGAAACTACTTTCTGGTAAAATGGCTTCACCGTGTTATTCTTTCTGTGTGCTTTTAAGATACAAGTACTCAAAGTCAATCTACCTATTCCGATCATTGGTCATTGCCATTAAACCAAATTCAAGTAGTAATCAGTGAATACCTGTATTGATCTTATCCACAGAAAATATTCATAAAGTGGTTTGTTTTCTTCAAGGAAGTGAAGTCTAGCTTCATTCAAAGAGCAGCCACAACCAGCACAGACATTAGTATGACTTAATGTCCTTGGTGTGTTTACATCAGCATTTTGTATCAATACATAACAAGCATGGCACAACACATCTTGCATAGGAAGCTGAAAACAAAACAATGTATGTTAGTCAATTGTCACATACCATAAAAATGATTAACTATTTATAGAGATGTTACTTTTCGCGTCTATGATGAGTTAAAACCTGAAGTTTGATGCTAGGTATTTAATACTTAATATGATATTATTTTATACAGCGACGAGGTCTCGCACTTTCAGGCTTCAAGTTATCGTGTACGCAGACTCTACGTAACTTCCCTGCAGATTCTCAAAACACGTAATACAAAATACTTACATATTCAATTCTGAGCCAAATAGATAAGATTATTAGTAACTCTTGAGGCAGAGTTGTAACCACATGTCTCTGTATTCGTTGAACGCGTAACCAGCAATTCAGGCAACGCAACATTTTGTATCACAAACGAAACATCCAAATCACAAAACACAGTCAAGTCCTTATAAGAAAAAAGCCGAAGTCACCGAATAAAACGACACTCAATATCCATAAAACAAAGCCAAGGTAGTTTTTTTATCGAACTGAAGAGAAAATCGGGAAACACGCAAACGCAAACATAGCGGCAGACGTAGGTGACAGTTAGTCATGGCATTTTAGTTTTTACAGTGTTTTTGACTTGGAACTAAGTCTTTTGAGCCATTACTTCATTCGATTTCGGCTTTACTTTTGAGTGTCTGGAGACATCCTTTAGATCTTTATTCAACTCTTTGATGATTCAAATGTAAAATAATAATCGATTATTTAGATCAATTGATGAACAAGTAAAGGACTAATTTTTTGAAGATTTTATCTATCACAACGAATGAATATACATGTGCTAAAAGACGTGATTCCAGATCCTAATAAACAAAGCATGATTATTAAACGATTATGTTAAGTACTGCATTATCAACAAAAACGTCTTATTTTTCTTAATTATTTAACCGGTGCTTTTTAAGACTTCAAATTATCAACATAATTCTTGTTTTAATTTATTAGAGCAATCTTGTTATATATTTTTTTTTGGGCGTTTCTGGGGCAAATATGGGCATGGGTCCTTTGTTCATACAAATGTAGTCCCTAAACATCGGGAATAAGCTCGGAACAATAACTAAAGCATGGAAGCCAGGCTAAAATAACAACTACACTCCATATATTCATCTTTTTTTTACTTATGGTATTGATAGTGTATAAGAAAGAGATATGTGTATTGTTTCGTTTCGTTATTAGGCAGGTTGTCACTACTTGTAAATATGCTAGTGATGGGAATAAATTAATATATTTTATCGATAAATTATGGTACCTGAAAGTTTTGCTGCTGTGGTCTAACGTACATTAGGTTCTTAATCTGGATGTCGTGGGTTCAAAAATAAAACACAATATTAAAAAGATAATTTAATTGCTCACAAACAAAGCATATTTACAAACCGTGGTAGTGGTGCACTATTATGTGTTTATCATTGACTTTTAAATATAATTGTCTTTGTTAAAATGTATCCTAAGTTTAAAATATTTTTGTGCTATGGACTTTATAAGATTTCTGTGATCAACATAGAAAGATTGTTCTAATGAATAATCTTTTTTTTCTCGAAAATTTTCTGACGGCAACACATTTGCTGAAACTTTATTAATCAATCTAATAATTATTTTGGTTTACCGAGAGATTTTGAATCAATATGCACTTGATATTCTCTTATAATTTTTTCGGTCAGCTGACAGATCTTGGTTAAGCCATATGTTGGTTTAAATAGGCCTCTTCTACCTCTATATTTAAAGATATCAAAGATCTTTAAGGAATACTCTCCGTGTTTTCAAGACTTTCTATGCATTTTTCGCATTGTAAAGATTTTTTAATTTCTTTCCAATAAAGCCGATTATGTATTCTATGACATTTTTAGAATATTCCGTAATAGATGATGGGTACAAAATGTAGTCGTGGTCTGTCAAATCATCAAAGGTATCATGTGATTCGGGTTCTAAACGACGTCTATACTATAAAGAACTTCAAAGCCTAACTAAAATATCGATATGTAACATGACCACATCACTAGCTTAAAAACTGACTTAGAAAATTGATTTAGATTTTTTAGGAAAAGATGGAATAATACTGTTTAGGCTTACAATTGAAAAGTACGACAATAAATAAGTAACATTTATTTATAGTTTACCGGTATTTCCAATATAATTTATTTTAAAACATATCAAAAACTTACGAATGAAAGTGTATTTTTTCACCACTGTTTTCTTTTCTTCCTAAATGTGAATTGCAGCCGTCAATCACACAAGACGTATTTTTATTAAGGAAAACACATAATAAAGAACGACCATACACTTCCTTTCTTCCTTTCTTTTGCGCTAATTCCATAAAAAACATTTTTTATAATCAGGAGCCGTAAATACAACCACGGTGACACTTCAGTACTATAATCCGGCAAAGTGAGGAAGGTGTCAAACTTGAGTGAAACTGTGAAACATAGAACGTCAAAACGTGATTTTGAATTTGGTAGTATGCTGAATAAGTCCAATGACATAAGATTGTAATGAGTCCACTGAAAGTTGTGACAACCTGCAAATTATTAGAGAACTATGTTTAGTTTGCGGTCTCATTCTCGCCTACGCAAAATTGTGTAAAGAGCGAGAGCATCAGATATACGTTTGTAAATTACTATTTTAGCCTGGCTTCCATGCCTAGTTATTGTTCCGAGGGAATAAGGTATATATGCAGTCAGTGGAGACTGGAGAGCTGTCACCGGTGACCACTTGGCTTTTGATCAGTATTACAAGTCCTGTAGCTATGAAAACTTTAAAACTTGCTTCATGTCAACGTATAAGTGTGAATAGAACTTAAGCAATTCGTTCTCTTTTTCCAAATCTTTAATCTAATAGGCATTCTAAAATTGTCATCAGTTTCCTCTCCATTTTTAACTAAGGTAGTGGAATGTTATACTAGCTCTCTTTCGATATTAAAGTCGTAATTCATTGTTACTAGGGTATCAATTCAGTCAAATATACACTACGATATCAGCTATCATCATAAAAATTGACAGCTAGAAATAGAGACAGCGAAATAGAACGAATTCATACGTGATATCGGGGCCTTCGCGCGTCAGAAATATGTTTATACAATGGACAAACTGGAGCGAGATGAAAATCGATGTTTACAGTAAATCGGGGACAGCCCTACTGTGTAGATTTACCCAGAAATAGTCAACTATCTGGAATTTAAACATAGATTCAGACTGGAAAATCTTAAAGTTCGATTTTATTTTCTGTGAATCGGTTTTCGTTTGTGCAAACATAACGTGCTATTTTTCATTCGGATCTCAGAATAATGAGAGGAAATTTAAACTTTAAGTGTTCTCGAACGTGTCTTTTTTATTCCATTTCCTTTGGGTTAATCTTACATAAATATTTCTTTTTTTCTTTGAACAATCTAATGGTATGGAAAAAATCTATTAGCTTAGATTTTTAGATTTCAAAAGTCACTCATTATGATATTAGTTGCGTTTTCATATTACAAAAAATCTATATGATTTCCTCAATAATACGTTGAAGGTCTGCTCCGAATGATTTGACGACAGCATATGCAAATTTAACATGATACACGGAGAACATCATACGGTAAGATGCTGCAGATTTCCCTAAGGGCAGCAAAGGTCAGGTGCTATTATTCAAATGTTAACCAAGACAGAAGGCCAGGGTTGATGACTGATTACATCATGGTTTAATAATTCAACATCAACTACTCACAGTTCCAGTTTCATTGGTTCAAGTAGGTTTTTCAAGCTGTCGTAAATTAATTTCTTTACATAACATTGAGTTAAAGACTACAGACAATTACCTTAATTTAATAGGAGGCCCTATTAAATTCTATATCTCGACGTCGTCGAGCGGTGTCAAGCGATGCGGTATCGTACCACTGTTTTACAATAAAAGAAAATATTTTGATTTAATTTTTATATACGGCCGGTTTGCTAATGCTTATCTATAGTGTATGGTATAAAAATGAATCGCTTAATGTGTTGCTAAACGCTAATCTCGAGAACAGTTGAACCGATTTCCCTAATTGTTTTTGGGTTTGTTATTGACAAAACAAACTTTGCGGGAACGCTAGTTGTACATAAATAAAACTCAACCATTAAACATATTTTTAGCTTCCGAACTAATAGGTAGGTGCTGCAAAATATAATCAAGCTTGAGACGAAACGACCATCGTGTAAATTTTTTGTCTGTTGTGTTACTAGCAAAACGAAAGACAGCGAATATCAAATTTGTTTATCAGGTATCTACTTAAATGAAATAAAATGTGAAAACTATTTTGAATTTGAGACTACCAACCGAAGTTAGCTACAACGGCACTTAGGTACGTTTCATCAATTAGGTACAAGGGTTATTTTTAATTACCTAGTTGGCTGAATCAACAGATTTCGTTTACCTACCTTCAAATATTCCTTTTCATTTATTTGTTTAAACACCGAATGCCTTTATGATAGAGTTGAGTGCGACCAGTTTCTTATGCACGCCATTCACCTTACGATGTACCAGTGCAGTTTCAATTGTACAGTTCGATACATATCAGTTAAAACTGAACTGTTCAACTATTGATGTACACATACTGCACAGTAAATCTTAAGTAGCGTGCGTGTAGCGTGCATTGCAGAATGCGTCTAGTCACGCTACGACTACTATTCCCGCGAATTTTGAAAGAACCGCCTAAAGACATCCTTTAAACCGCGACCTTCAACCTATAGGTCCTTAGTAGACCATGATGGGCTGTTGAAGTTATAAAATAGTTTTCTTTATTTAAATCAAATCCACGCTCGATGCGTGGATCTTCTGATATCTTGATTTTTCTTCTAAGTGGTTCACTCTTGACTGAGTGGGTGTCGTTATCAATCAAGAATAATTTTATTGACATGTTCTATTAAACGAGGCCCTTCTTGTAGTCTTCTTCGTACAATTGTGGCACTCACGCAATTATATCTTGATTAGATTTTAATTTTTCAAACTATCAATACGAATTATTTAGAATGTTTAGGAATAGACTCGTCTCCCATTACAATCAACTTCATTCAAGCTATTCATTCGTACACTTTTTAAATAGACTTCTAGACCGTTGGGTAATAACAAAATATAAAATTACAATAAGCACGAATAAACCTAATAAAAATATTACACGAACAACCCTAAGATGATTGCAATTCGAGTTAATTGGTGATTCCACAGTATTATTAGTTCACAGTCAGTTCTTACGACACCCTGGGGAATCAATGGAATGGTCTGGAATTCTAGATCGTATTATAGTACCAACGTATAGGTAGATGAAGATTATGTATAACATAACATCACGCCTTTTATCCCCAAAGGGATAGGCAGAGGTGCAAATTACAGCACTTAATGCCACCTTGCAGGTTGTAAGGATGCCTGACATTATTTTTATGGAATTAACCAGTAAACGAGTGGACGGATTACCTGAAGGTAAGCAATCAGCGCCGCTCATGGATACCCGGAACACCAGAGGTGTTTCACATACATAACCGGCCTTTTAGGGATTAGGAATTTGAAGATTGTTGAAGGTTATTGCTGACCAAACAATACATTTGGTCAAAGACAGGTAGGGAAGTACAAGTTATTCCTTCTTCATCATGATTTAAGTTAACAAGCGCGACACGAAATTTGGTACTTACATCTCGACTCATTTTGCTTGTAGGTAACATACAATTAGCTTTCTAAATTAGGTAACGTTGTCACCTAGACAGGTATAAATATAGTAGAAACGTGCGAATAATATGGTAACCACACTTCCAACGAGCATAGGTACTAATCAGGACATAAAATCTGTTTTAAAATCAATTAAGGAATTAACCAGATATGACAAGGACCATTTTGGAATAACAGAAAATAATTCGAGATAGCACACAAAGCGATAATCACGCTCACTATTGTTCATCTGTAGCGATAATTCAAACTCATGATGGCTTTATGAATTCGAAATTAGGTCGACCGAGAAAATATAGGTAAGTAAAATAATAAAAAATCGTGACGAGCCGGTCGTCTGTCCCGCGAACTTTCTCTTTATAACTTTCAGAACCTATTCATTATTCTCGCATTCAGTGTGGGCTCGAATAATTATTACGTGCGTTGAATACTCTTCAATAATTAGCGGATGACACTAATGAATGAAAGCGTGGCTCCCCAAATCGTCTAATCGCAACACAATTATTCAATTAATTTCAACTTAGTTATCTTAATGATCGCGAAACGCAAAAATACTCATTAAAATATAACGAGATCGAATTAACCGCAGACGGAGGATAAAGGCAATATAAAGACTTGTAGCTAATAGTAATTATAATACTACGGAGACCGACTCAGATATTCATAAAATAATAAGTATTAGAGGTATATAAACTAGTATAGAAAGTATTAAAATAATTAAATCGTACCTTGAAAACAATGACAACGGGCGACGTTGCAAAATAAAACCACTGTTCTGGTTGGGAGTCAACCAAGTAACATTTTAATAAAAGAGTCACAATCTATTACCGACCCGTACACCGGACACACATAATTATGAATCAATGCTACATCTGTACGATCAAACTTTCAACATAAACAATACACGATCGACAATGAAGTCCTTACTCACAACAAAACAATTCACTTATTATGGTTTCGGCTTACTCACGTAGTGATTCGATGAGGAACTCGACTAGTTTCCAGCCATGCTAGAGGCTCATATTCATGAGCAGCATTTCGCGAACCGCGACGCGGCGACTGTCGCACTGCTACTGGCTACTCGAGTCTGCGGGCCCAGCGCGCCCTCTGCCGTGATTCACGCACACTTTCTTCCATTCGTGGTATCGGCGACGGCGGCGCGCGTGGCACTGTTGGCACGCTAGACTCGCCCACCGGCAGCTGCGTTGGTGTTGTTGGGTTCGAATCCCCGATCGACGCAAAAACAGTGTTACATAGCGCGCTCACTGTGTCACACTCCAGACCCGCAACACTGTAGTCTGACGCAGATTTCAGACTCGGCTTCCAGGCAGGTGGTAATGCCCAGCCACCGTCTCTGTTGAAGTTCGGACGACGGCTTATTTCGATGGCCTCACGTACTTTCCGCGGTACGAAATATTTCTCCCTCGCCAGTACTGAGACCTTGTCGAAACGGAGGAAGTGAGCCGTGCCCGTGCTACACGCATGCTCGGCTACTGCCGATGTATGAGTGTCACGATTCTTCACACTGCGTATGTGTTCCTTAAGTCTGGTTGCGATGTTGCGACGAGTTTCCCCGATGTAACTCGAGCCACAGTCGCACGGTATCATGTATACTCCGGGAACTGCCAGCGGATCTTTGTCCTTAGGCGAGCGCAGTAGATGTCGTAACTGACCAGGTGTGCGGAATATCGTCCTGATGCTGTATCTACGGCGTAACAGGTGTCCGATGGTGTCGGTTACTCCTTTCACATAGGGTAAAAATGCTGGAGTCCGTTCCGCAACTGCTGGTCGTCTTTTACTTCGAGTACATTGACGCCAGTTGTACCCATTATTTTCCAGTACCTGTGGTCGAATTCCGCGTTAATGTACTGGGAATCACACAGGTTCAGTGCCCGGTTGATTAAGTTAAGTTCGTCTTGGGAACGGAGGCAAGGTGGGAGGGATGGTGATGCGAGTCGGCTCGTAAGTACCGGTCCGTGTGTGTCGGTTTACGGTAAACCGTGTGCGACAGCTGGCCGTCCGTTTCACGACTTACGAGGACGTCAAGAAATGGCAACATTCCATCTTTTTCCTTCTCAGTGGTAAACTGTATGCTGCTGTGCACTGAGTTCAGATGTCTTACGAATTCTGCCACATGTTCCCGGTTGATGACTGCGAATACGTCATCAACATAATATCTCCACCAGTATCGCGGTCGTACCGGGGCAGACATTAAGGCTTGGCCCTCAAACCACTCCATGTATATGTTGGCAACCACTGGCGCTGACGATGAGCCCATGGCGACCCAGTTCCTCCTCGAATCACTACGTGAGTAAGCCGAAAACATAATAATTTATTTAGTATGTCTCACGAAAGTTCAAAGTCACGAAAATTCACAATAGGTATTTTTTTTTCTTTTTCCTGCCAACAAATACGAGCAATACAATTTTCCGCTAAAAAAATATTTGCTTGTTTAAATTTATCAGGCGTCAGAATCGCAGGAATGTGGGAATATCAAACACGGTTTTGTACAGACGTAATTCGAACCAAACATTTCTCTTTGTCTATTCTATTAACGCCTCCAAATAAACGAGGCACAACCAAATTTTAATGTTCGGTTGTGATTACTGAATTGGCAGCATGTGGTAATTGCTTTCATTATATGTATACGTGGATTATAAAGTACTGGATCAAAATTATTGTTAGCTTTTATTTAATCTAATTAGCTGTATCGTTTAATTATAAATACATACCTACACTAAGTACAAATACAAGCTTACAAGTAAGTATTGAAATGTAAATCCTGTAATTCTGTAATCCTGAAAATCAATAAACATGATTTACTTATAAAGTACAAAATCAGATCAGTAACAAATTATGCAAAGTCATCATAATAAAAAAGTGGCTAAAAAGCTAGTCTAACAACTAGGTAGACGATTGAGATACTAAATCAATTTTTTTAAGTGTGGGAGAGCCATGCTTCGGCACTAATGGGCCGGCTCGACCGGAGTGATACGGCCTCACAGAAAACTATCGTGAAACAACGCTTACGTTGTGTCTCATTTGTTAGTGAGGTTACCTGAGGCCCTATTATTCCCCTCCCCAATCTCCACAATCTCTGAATCCCTAAAAATCCATATTCCTAAATTCCTAATCCCCAAAAAAACGGTAACTCACTTGTAACGCCTCTGGTGTTTCGTGTGTCCATGGGCGACGCAGATTATTATTTATTTACCAACAGGTGTAGGTACTATATATATTACCTATAGATAGTAATTCCAAACTTTTATATACCTACAGAAATTTATCATAAATATTTCATAGAAAATGATGTATGGCTATAAATTCCCTTGCGTATGGCATTACGACAAAATTTATCGTCACAAATTCCCACGGGACGAAGAAGCGATGAGATAGAAATTAAATCAACAGAACTGAATACCACATCCCACCTGCGAAACTCGGTTAGTTTAGGAAGGTGTGATCACAGAATTCTCTTGCAAAACGAGGTATTCGTGTACCTATGTTATTAAATTCTCCCGTATTTCTGTAAAGGCAAGGCTTGTGGTACAAAAAGACAGACGAAACGGGAAGCTTTCCTTGTTTGTACATTTTTTTAATTTGGTGCTAGAAATGTTCTGACCATCATGATATTCAGTCGTTATGCTTCCTCTTTCGACGGCGTTTTTAACAACCCCCAGGTTTAGCAAACAGTGTCAGTAGGTATAACAGGATAGAACACGTCCACTAGGGTCCAGACCAGAGTACCAGACAGTGGTCTTAACAAGTTTACATACAACAGAATATTTGTTACTGATGTTATCAGATATACACCACAGAACATGTCTTTTTTATATGTTCCTGTGTTATATAATATACAGGATGTACCTTTTACGGTGGCTAAATTGAATAAACTTGGAGTTAAGTGAAAGAGGGATTTCAAATCTCAATTTTCTTACTGAGATTCCACTAGAGAAAAAACACAAAAATAGTTTGCAGCATTAAACATTTTTTTTTCTAAACTATACTTTTACTTTATTTTCTTCTTCTTTACGTAAAATAGGTAACTTAATATTTTTTTACGGGATAAGCTGGTAAACGAGCAGACGGATTACCTAATGTTAAGCAACCGGCGTCGCCCATGGACACCTGGAATACCAGAGGCGTTACAAGTGCGTTACCGGCCTGTAGGGATTACTAATATGAGGATTGTTGGGGATTCAGGGATTGGATAAAGGCGGATATAATTGGGCCTCCGGTAACCTCACTCACACGACGAAACACAACGCAAGCATTGTTTCACGTCTGTCTTCTGTGATTTATCGTAAACCTACATTATTTATTTTTTATTAAAGACTAGCTTCTTTCACGCGGTTCTAGCCGCTCTGCTCGGTTCCTATTGATCGCAGCGTCATGTTTTATTAACCTTCCTCGATAAATGGACTATCCAACACAATAAGTAGTAAACAGATCAGTATTTTCTGAAATTAGCGCGTTCAAATAAACAAATAAACAACGGCTTTATATAATAGTAGGTATAAGAAATATAAGATAACAATGTGCTGGTATTAAAAACAATTTAAATACTTACAGTGTCGTTGAAAATACCTTTGAAGTCTATCAAATTAAAGTAGTTTTAGGCAAAATTTGTGTTTTATTTTAACCCATACATCCCCAAGTGGTCACCGGTGATCGCTCTCCACTAACTTACATTATAGACCTTATTTCCAAGGTTTGGAGACTACCTTTGTATGAAAAAATTAAGGGGATGAATTTCAACGGGTTGATATTACAACTTGGTATCAAGTTATAAAACCCGATAGAGAAAAAATCTTTCAATTTAATTTATAGTGGAAAACATCACTTCAAATTATCCTTAACTAAAGTTAGACTTACAATATTATATCTCAGTAGCACGCAAGAGTCCTTCGTTTTCCAAACGCCTCCTGATTAAAATCTTTCATCTAAATTAAAATCCAGCTATCCATAGCCTCGTTCCAGTTTATTTAACTTTCTGAAAATGATTAGAAAATTTAATCTCCCGTTGTACCTACATTAATTTTCAATATTACGGTTTAAATAGTGAAGTATTTGTGTTTTGTTTCTGTATACTATCTAATCAACTTAATAGTAGATACAATAGCGCGAGCTAATCCGTCGTTAGTATTATGATATTTATATTCATACTAGCTTTTACCCGCGGCTTCGCTCGCATCACAAAAGGATAAAAATTAGCCTACGTGACTTATACCAATACACACAGCGCCATCTATACCAATACTTTTGTTTTCCCTCGGGAATATCAATCTTTTCCGCGATAAAAAGTACCCTATTATTTAATCCGGACTTCTAACTTTACCTCTGCAAAAATTCAAAACAATCGGTTTAGTAGTTACGGCGTAAAAGCGGAACAAACAATTAGTAAAGATAATTATATGCACTCACAACATAAGCCACATTTTAGGATGGTCTCAGTATTGCGCTGACCGCACGCTGACCGTCGGCGTTGACAGCTGAGATACAAGTATTAACTTCTGGGAACCGTGCGCGCTGATAGCTACGCGTCATTCAAAAACGCTTCCATCAAAACCAGCCAAAGAAATCGCCTTGTGAGTAAAAATAAACTACATGAATACATAGCACACGATTTAAGTATAACAAAAGAACATTTCAATACACAAATGTTACATACAGATGGTTACACCTAACGTCGCCCATTCACCCTTTTATCTAGCTCTGCATGTACGCAAATATGACAAATAAAGAACGCTACGTGTGACGTGTTATAATCCATTCTGTGCACCGGAATTCACACATCCTGTATATATTCGTGTTTGCTAAGAGCAAAAGAATTTTATACCAAAATGGTTGTAACGTGTTTTGTTTTTTTTTAAACAAAATAATTGGTGCAGTTGTATCAATATTTTTGACACACTTGCAGCAGAATTTCGACGGTTAAAATTGGTTCCAAAGTTAATAAATAAGGTTATAGACATTGAAAACATCATTTTTGATTTTCATAGATAATTTTAGCAGGTAACATATTCTGTAAATTACTGTTGTGTATTCAAATGTGTTTCTAAAGTGCATTAAAACAACGAGAACTAAAACAGATATGCTGGCATTTCCTTAGGACACCCAATTTCACCGAACCCATTTAAAAGACATTTTGTTTGGTCCATTCTCGATTCAAAAATACGTTGCTTCTAAGTAACCTACAGTGTTATTGTGAACAGTATATTTTCCAAGTACCTACAGACATGTTTACTGAAATAAAATATGCATTATAAGCGAATGTGAGTATCTCAAGAAAATAACCGTGCGTGTTGGACAAAAGCTTTTAGGGAACTGCAGCTCCGCATACATATTTTTAGAGTTAGGGCTCTGACATACTGGCGGATAAGAAAAATTTACGTATTTTGATTTTATCCTATTACCCTTCTAATAAGTAACATATTATATTATACTTTCATGAGGTCTCATTTGCGATTTTTTGAAACCTATTATGTGGCATAGAAATATACTTTCATATTATATGATATATGAGATATATATTATTAGAGTCTGATAATAATATAAAGTTCATTATCATCGCAATAAAATGAGCGAAATCGCTCACTAGCGAGTCCACACACACACTAACGACACTGGATATTATAGAACATTAGTTTTAGTGAAAACTGATATTCTATAACTGAAAACTGGATTAATCAAGTGTCCTTCCAACAAATCTACTAGAACAATAAATATGGAACTCGCATCGGACTTTAAGACGACTTAAACTTTAAAGAATACCTGCGTAATAGAATTTACGATCTTACTTTTTGATGAGTTGGAGTTTTAAGCTTGAAATTTTTGTGACTTGAATGGTTTTATATAAGTTAGGTATAGCGAGACATCGTGGCCGTCAAGATATATCATTAAATATTAAATTTTACAAAGATATTTTTGTCAAAATTCAGACCAGACACGCTGTACTCGCTCACAAATGTGTCTTCTGATTTTTAAGTCAGTCAAAATTCATAATATGATATTAGTTTTAAAGGTATAATAGAATGTTGAATTCTAAATTTGACTAGACTTTAAAAATCTATTAAAAAGTTGCAGGAAAGCAACAGATGTGTATAGAAAGATACACATCTGTTCTACCCGACAAATTGGTAGCCATTTTTCGTCCGTTCATAGCAGTTGTCAAATATTGAACGTCCAGTGGGCTGACACAAGCTAAATCCCTATTGGACGAAGAACGAGAGATTCACACTGGCGTCATCTGTTGAGCGAAATTACGGTAGGTTAGGT